GTAGATTTTAAAATGAAATTAAAGGGAGGAAATGATCTAGTAGCTCAAAAAAAAAAAGGCTAGGGGATTCCAGAGAGATGGAAGAGTACAATTAAAGGAGAATACAAAGCCCCTGAACATGGGTGATGCAAGAGGGCAGACCAAAAGGAGTCTAAGTTACCAGGGCTCCTACCAAGACTATGTGACTATATTCTAAGAACACATTCTCTATCTTAATAGAATCACAATGCTGGAAACCCATAATTTATATGAGAAACATCATCAGGTTTAGGTAGTGGCTGCCAAATTTCTGGTTTTTGAGGGTTTTGTGCAGGATCACAGTCATGACAAAAAGAGAGGGGTCTAAGTCATGTGCAGGTAAAGGGAAGGGATAAACAGCATCAGGGGGATCACAGGAGTTTCTATTTTGTTTAAGAGCCCAAGCTTCCAACTTGCCTCTCCCACTTACCCATAACATATGAATCTGTGACAAAACAAACCACATTTGAATATACAGACATATGGAAATGTTAAAATCAACATTTATCCCTTGCTATTATTGCAGTGCTTATGTGTCAGAACAAGAACTAACTGAAGATACTATTCTATAGTGGAGTTGGCAAATGTCACCACTCAAAAGAGTAGCACTTTTCTAAAATTTATGAGATAACTCTTGGTCTCATTTACCTAAGAAGTACTTTTCCTTCAAATTTTAATAAATGGTACTTTAAATAACTGCTACAGATGTTAATAAATCTATAATCCCACTCAAGGCAGAGCAGCCTGCTTAACCTGACCTGTATAACACAAGCCAAAGAATCTGACTCATTAATCCTTGCCTCAAGCACAGAAGTATTTGGGGGAAACAGACAGTGGCTGCCGATGCAAGTAGCTGCAGACATCGTGTTGTTAAGTTGCTAGAGATCGTAACATCTTTATTTGCCATTAGTACTCTCTTTCACACAGCTTGACAATTCATGGTGCAGAACACTGTCCTGGCTATGTATTCGCACTGAGAGCAAATCAGCATTGCACACAAGAACACAGAATTCAAAAGAATATTGAACAGAAAACCTAATTCCACGCCCAGCAAAAGAGGTTCCCAAGAAAGTATGCTAGATTTGCAGAACCATCATACCAGCAAAAATCACTAATACCACTGGTCATATAAAGACAAAAACCCAACCTACCAATATAATTCAAATTGATTTAGTATGGTTGAGTACCCTTTTGAAGCCTTCAAGTAACGTAACCTCTTAAACCATTTTAAATGCTCAAGGCAGACAGAGTGTTTAAACAACTTATCACGCAGCCCACTGACACACATGCAGCACTCTAACAATACAAGCTGTTTAGGTGCTGATAATTCCTTAGTATCTCCTGTGACACAAAATACACATTTAGAGACCAGAACCAGGCACTGAGATGAACACACGAACACATCCAACTGAAATATTCTCAGCAAGGTTCTCAGAGCTAGCTAGATACATGGAATTAGACTTCTATGTCCTTTATTGTGATCTGAAGAGTAATTTCTCAGCAGATAAGACCATTAAGGCCTTTCATCTCTGCACATACCAAATTTTCCAACGTTGTTTAGAGCAAACTAGTTTAAATCCTCCTAACATAATCAGCACAACAAACAAAACAACCAGCATGGCAGACTTTCTCCTCAGGGACAGTAAAAGTGATCTAGTTCCTTCACAGACCATATCATGCTCTGTATAAACAGGAATAAAACTGGAATAACTCTGTTGACTAGTGGAGTTAGTCCAACAATACACTAATCAAAATAAAATCACAAGTTAACTCAATATATACAAATAGTGACAGCTGCTGGTTTCTATAGCAAAATATAGTAAATAATTATCATCAGAAATACAAGCAAAAGCAACACCTATGTATGATTCAATTTCATGCTTCAATGAAAATTACAGATTTGTAATTCTTATGAATTCAAGTCAACTAAATGAATGACATCCAAGCAGCAAAGCCAGCAACAAAATACTATCTCAAAATCAATCACAGAAGCAACAGAAATTCCTACCCATTTTTTTAAAATTAAAAAACTCCTGTCTTTAAACAATTTTTAAACAGGCTAAACCAAAACCCTGGTTTTAAAAAAAATCTTCAATATAATATTAAAGAGTACGAATTTCCTATCAGTAGTGTATATTACCACAAAATAAAAATATTTTTTAAGTCACCAGCAGCCCATTTCTTTCCATTAAGGTGTTTTAAGCAGGATCTTGGTCTTTTCTTACATAAAATTCAAGACAACCTAATCCATCATTAATGTCCTCAAGATGGCCTCATATATGCAATGAATTAAACACTCTCAAATATTTTAGTTTTTCAAAGTGGCAAAGACTCACTACATCCCAATCGTATTTCCCGGATGATGTCATGAGCCTCCTAACACTTCATTTCCATCATGTTCAATGTCTTGAGAAATCTGTTTTCAATCTTTCAAACACAAACAGGACCTCCGCCCTCTGTCCCCTGATGCTAGATTCAGCAGTACCCAGCCAACATATTTTTCATATTCTTTTTACAGTGAATAAATTAATCTCCTCCCTCATCAATCACATAGAAACCTTCCATGACACATTCACGTTCTTCAACCTTCTTCATAAGTATATTATTTACGTCTTCTATGAAGAAATGGAGGATATGCATTCATCAGAAAAAAGTAGCTCCAAGTCAGCCAAGAAAAGCATCTCCAAAGCTGATTTGACCCTACTCTTGCTCCCAGTGTACTGGAGTTGTGACCTAGAGATACTGCTGCTTTTATATTTAATCTAGGGACCTGCTAATTCTCAGCTCTGCTTTGCTCACAGTGAAGAGCTCTAGAGGCATCTAAATTCAGTTCTGAGGATTTTGCTCAGTGTCTGTCTGTGGAAAAATACAGAATGCATTGATCTGAGTTGAAGCTCTAGCAGCTGAAATTCTATCTTTATACCTCTTTTGTCTTGCATCCAGTCCCTTCATTTTAGCAAAACATTCTTATTGAGGAGAGTGTTTTCCATCCTTCAGTTGTCTAATAAATTATGACTTTGGGTCTCCCTAAAATCGTTGCGTTTAGAGATCCACATTGTACTTAACTTCAACAACACACAGTTCTCTTTCTAGTGACAGAATAAGCCATTAATTATAAACAAAGCATTCTGGGTCTCACTTTGTGTAAGAAACTTAGGGTTAGATGGACCACCTGAGTCCTTGGATCCAGTGCTCTGCATATACAATTAACCATACATATTGACATCAGCAGAAAAAGGCTTCAGAGTATCTGTTCCATGTAGCCCTATCTACAAATCACAAAACACATTCAGCAGTCCATAGTAAGCTCCAGAAGTTGCCATAGTTATGATGTGTGACATTTGAATGTGAAATCCAAAATTTTATCTTTCTTGTATATTCATGCCAGAACTTACAATTCCAATGTTTGCCCCCAAACATTTCAGTATTTGTCCCAGGGTGGCTGTGTAACAAAACTCATGACGAATCAGTGGAACTGCCTGGACTGAAAACAGCATTTTTGAAATCAACATTCTCCCAGCTGACCACAGCACTGCAAAAGCAGGTCTTTCTTCCCTGTCCCTCTTTCTCACACTCCTAGCTGTACAATGGCTGGGTTTTTGTCAAGTTGTTTTTCAACACCTTTGTTTGGGAGCCTACTGATTCTGGGGAATGAGAGTTGTGTGCCTGAAAAGCCCCAGCTAGAGACAGGAAACAAAGTTACTCACCACTTGCCATCTGGTAGATTATTTAGGAAGAGGAGCTGCATTATTATGATGAGCGCTGCTCAATGTTTTCAAAAAATATTCATAAGCGCCCCAGTTCCAGAGAAGATGCTGGATTCCAAGCTGGCAGACATACTTGCCCTACTGCCGTTGATGCAGGTGCCTAAGCACCAGAGAAACTCACTTGCCTTTTTACATTAAAATTCCCACTGACCTGCAGCGAGAATTTTCCTTTTCACTAGGCAGGTTTTGGGACCATTCATCTGAGCTGCCTAAAGCACACTTCACAGGTGCTTCATTCTGGTGTGGGATTCTATTTTGTCCATTTCAAATTTAGGTCCTTCAGCTTAACTTGCAGGACTCTGTATCTTGCCGGATTAATCTCTACCTCACTTCTGTGGGAACCAGAAAACAAACTGTAATAAAGGAGAACACAGGAAACTGGTAAGCAGTTTTACAGTCATTTGCCCAGAGCTCTAGGGCTCTATTCCTCCTTCTGTCACAGACTTGGTCCCTTGGGTGAGGCAGGTCACCTCATCAAAGAATTGTGTTTTTAATCTGCACCCAGAGGATCTCACTTGAAGAAATGCTGGACATTCACAGGTATCTCTAAACTTGGGGATTTTACATACTTGAAACATATGCAATGCCTTATGTGGACAACTGCCCCTTCTGCTATCCCCAAAATAGCTACTGTTTGGTGTTTCAAATTTGTACCTTTGTCGCTTACTTATGACTACCATTGGCAGTTCCCCCGCATACAAAACAGGGAAACAGTCATCCCCCATCTCAGAGGGAAATCAGTTCATTATAGATTAATTACTTGGTTTTGACTTCTCAGTAATAGGTTTTGCATGAATGAATAACACTGTCCTCAGGTCTGAATAGTGTGACATAAACAATGCACAAAGCAAAACTGCAGCTTTGCAAGGACGAAACTGAATACTTAAGACCTGTTTAAGTTAGTGGCATTCATTACATGCTTCAGAAAAAATGTTAGTAACTTCATCATCAAATAGACTGCACTCCATTGCACATGTACCAGGATGGGAAATTCAGTCTGTATGGGCAACCATCCATCTGGTACTTTACAACTTCATAGTGTCGCTTTTGCAACCTTATAAATAAAATTATCTCTTAACTTAATCTTTATGTACATTACACACACAAAACAACTATCAGCAGTGCTTTTTTTTGGATGCTAACTTGTAAGCAAATGCGTATCATTTCTATGCTACTATTATCTAAGTATCAGATGCGACACAAATCCAAACTCACATCTCTCATCATTTTCACTGCTTCCCTGGTCCTTCCCAGCTTTCTTGCACACATTGCCAGCCTCCTCTTAATATAAACTAACACATTGGTGTCCCTTCCTGTGTAAGAGGAAAAAGAAACAGCATTAAGATAAAAAAGATACAACAAAGGTTCGTTTAATATTCCAACACAAAAGAAAACATAGTTTTCTTGCCATTTTTTGTTATTTGCTATTATCAATGCTTTCACAATCATTTTAATTAAAAAAATATACTGATGACTTCAATGTGGCATAACATCACTGAAATCAGTGGCATTACTCCAGATATAGAGTGTTATAAATAAGGACCCATGGGTTGGCCTTACACCTATGAAATATAAGCAGATTTGAAGGTACAGAGAATGATAATACAGACCACCAAGCAATCAAGTGAGGGACATAAAACCCCTATGAAGTTAACATTGACACAAAACTGGTCACACACACAGCATTAAATTACTTACCAATTCACATAAATGGTTAAAACAAGGGCATCCATGAAAGTGCACATTATATCCTGCCTTTTTTAAGTTATGATGTACGTGCTTGTTAACAGGAGATGTATCAAAACAAATCCTCATCCTCCGTCTTTTTCTTAATGATTAGAAGAAAAGAAGTATACCCTGAACTTTCTGTTTACAGTCTTTACTTGCCACCCAATTATCATCTTCAAATTCCTCACTCCATGGATTATGGACAGCAAATTAACATGTCTCAGATATGACAGTCCTATGTGCTAGAAGATGGCCTAACAGCAAAGATAACAGAAACTAAACAGCTCCAATAATTATTCTCTTGGGGAATTCCTTCTTGTTTCACTTCTCATTCTCTTCCCTATAATTCCAATATGAACTCTTAACATGCTTCTTGACCAATAGGAAATGAGTGGACAGCTAATCACCTATAAAATTACCATATCTTGAAAATATAAGACACCTGCTAAAAATTATCTTTGTATATAGTATGCAGTCTGTAAAGATCTTAGTCTGTTTCTAACATTTTCAAGTTTTTCATAATAAGAACAAGATGTGCACCGAAAACATCCCAAGTACCTACAAATTGTTTTAAACCTGTGATTACAATTTTCAGATAGATTAAGCAGCAAGTTGAAAGGTCTGCCTTTAGAAGAAAAAGAAATAAGGGAGGGAAGGAATTTCTTTGGCTCTATTTTATATTATGTAATTTCTTATCTCTGTATTGATTTCTATATATTTAATAAACAATTTAGTCTTTAATAAACAATAAGTCTTTTCAGAAAGAACAGTCAAAAGACATTTACTTACTATGAAATCAAGATAACCTTTCAGGCCAAAATTTTTCTGAGGTGACTAATGATTTGGGTGACTAACATGAGCCACCTTATAAAGAACGTGCTCATGAAAGCACCCCAAGGTGCTTTCTACAAAATAGTACCTTTTGAAAGAGGTTAAGTTGGGTACTCAAAGTCATTATTTACTTTTTAAATTCACAGTGTAACATAAAATACTGTACAAAGGAGATGGAACACATGAATAAACAGAAACATAGAGCGATATGCTGTTGTTCAAGAAATTACATAGTGTTTTTCACCTGTAAAAGATGAAATGCACACTTTTCATCCCAAAGTCAACTTCAAGGACCAGAAGTAGAATGACAGACATCTCAGAACCATGGAACTGCAACACATCTGTCCATGGTCCTCCCTCTCTAAAGGGAGCTGAGCTCCACGCCTTTCTACACCATGCAGAAGTCCAGCATATAATGAAGAGAATCCTACTTGAAGCCCCTGTGTCCAAGGCACCATCTGAAGCTGGAACTTCTCTAACTTCTGTGGGCGTACATTGACATCATCAAGGGGAGGCAGGGTGGTATAGAGAAGTACAACAATCTAGCCCCTCCTCAAGCCCCTCTGGAAGCCACAGTCAAGAGCTGGCAGTCACTTTTCAACCCCTCCTGCTCTGTGGCAATGCACTTAATTTTGTGATTCAACTGGTTACTTTCTCTGCTGTAATACTGAAGGTTCAGGGTGTCAAATTTGATGATGATAGTAGCCATCTATCACACGCAGGTTACAAAAATACCATACTTACATTTGTCTGCACAAACTTAACCAGATGACCTTAGACATAAGCATTGTGACAGTGTTTAATTACTCTTACTGTGCATTTTTCATAGAATCACTGTCATTTTCTGCACGCAGGATGGATTGAGTGCACAAATTAAGGTTTCACAGGCAACCATACGCCTGTTAGAGTCTGAAAATTGCTTCAAGGGCTCAGCTGCTCTACATTTTTATTTTCACCAGAAATAAGCAAATCATCCTAAACATCATCTTATAACCAACAAATGTTTAAAAAACTACCCCTAACCTTTATAAAACCTCAGGTTTTCAGGTACAGACTTGTGTACACTTTTGAAACCAGAGATCACAGACAATTTCACTATGTACAATTTTTACCAGCAATCTTCAAATTATGAGATAGCCAGAGGCTGTGAATTCAGGTCCTGAGAAACGTGCAGATGCCCAGAGTATGTTAGTGCTTGCACTTACGTACTTAATTGGTATTATTTTTGCCTGAGGTAGCCATTGTAGACTAGAAATAACCTAGACTGATTGCTTTATTTAGTTTTTTGTTCATTTACCAGCAGTGAACTCTTATGTATTTTCTTAGGTTTAAAAAGCATCTAATAAGTATCATCACAGCAGCTAAATCTGCTTATTAAAAATTTAGGAAAAAAAATCTATACTTTCAATTAGAGCACTGTATTATTCCAGTTGTTAATTTTTATGCTTCTGTGACCTTTCTTAATGTATGCAACTAACTTTTCAAATGTCATGTCGGTTAATGGGTCTCATTAACTTTTACACAGAACAATGTGGTGTATGTATTTACCCTCACAGCTGACAGAAAAAAGCTGGTAAATCATCACTTCACTCCTGTTTCCATCATTTTTACTGCCTTTTCACAACATGAGCCCACTTTTTCAAAATGGCTAAAGGCACTTCAGTGCAACTTCCTAAAACAGTGACAAGCATTTGCTGAATTTCAGACCTCTTTTGGCTCTGCTACCTTTTCTTTTCTGTTAAGTACATGCTACAATATTTTCTGCCACAACAAAGAAAAGGTGCATCTGTAATCTGAGCATTGCTAGCCCAGCAACAGAATCAAGCAAAAAAATATGGTCAGAATAGCCTGACCATATTCCAGCCAATGTTAAATACTGAGTACCTAGTTTTGAGAGGGGAAAAAAGAAAACCAAAAACCAAAGAACTCCCCAGAACTTCTTTCCCTTTAGAAATGGCTATTCCCTCCAAAGAAACTTACTGTGTTGGGCTTCATACTGGGCACCATGGTGCTGTAACTGCTGACTGCGCCTGTAACAGCCCTCTCCAGCTTTCAGAGCTTGCTTGAACAGCTTCTCTGCTTCTACAATTGTTGTTGCTTCCTCTTCGGCCAAGAGAATATAGGCAGTAGCACACCTACAAAAATATCAGAGGAAAAACCATGAGAAAGTTGCACAAATTAAAAGCTATTCAGACATGCAGACTGGCAAGGATGTACCAAATACAGAAGCAATGGAGTTTTGTCCATATAATAGTTGTGATGAACTATTCTGATGAGTAATACTCTGGCAACCAGACCATGACTCTCATTTGTATGTACTGTATCACTCAGCCACTTGAGTAAATCTACTGCTGACAACTGCCCCAGAAAGTAAAGCACTGCCCCACTGATCATGGGCTACATCACTAAAACTCCTTCTGGAAACCAAGACTAGTTTTATGCACTACTGTTTTAGAATAACATGTCTCCATTACTGTAATGGTATGAAAAGAATCAATAGACCTGTAACACTTGCCATATGCAAAGAATAGATTATAAATGTAATTGTAGAGATTAAAAAACAAAACAAACAAAAAAAAACAACACCACCACCATGACCCTCAAAGAGGAAAATAGCTTTAGTAATACACAGAAAGGTGAAATGCATGGTGGGAGTCACTTCAACCAGCTTTTAGCTGTCTAATTTAGATCTCTTCACTGTCTGTGCCACTCCACCTCCATCAAGAAATATCTTCACAAAGCCATTCGTTTCACATGTTTAAGCATCTATCTAAGAATACGGTGAATTCCTGAATGGAGGTGCCTCTCTCATTGACCATAAAGGGAGCCCAGGCAGCTACTTTAAACTCGATGGCCACATTTTTAGCAGCTGAAGTTATGTGGGATATAGCTTGTTGACTTCTTTCCGATACAAAGCACACTGCTGATGAGGTTATTCTTCATAAAGAAATAGAATTGGGCTGCAGCTGGCTCTAGCTGCATTTCACAAAGGCATTAGCTGAGGAATAGGAAACAACAGGTCTGGGTGAAAACAAGATTCCAGGCACCAGTACTTGCTGTGGGCCAGCCAGCTGGAATACAGCTTGTCAGAAAAGAACTTGGGAGTCCTGATGGACACCAAGTTCAATGTGAGCCAGCAATGTGCCCTTCCAGCAAAGAGGGCGAATGGTATCGTGAGCTGCATTAGGAGGAGTGTTGCCAGCAGATCGAGGGAAGTGATCCTTCCACTCTGCTCAGAACTGGTGAGGCCACATCTTGAATGTTGCGTCCAGTTCTGGGCTCCCCAGTACAAGAGAGATATGGACATAGTGGAGAGAGTCCAGCGAAGGGCCATGAAGATCATTAAGGGACTGGAGCATCTCACATTTGAGGAAAGGCTGCAAGAGCTGGGACTGTTCAGCCTGGAGAAGAGAAGGCTCAAGGGGGATCTCATCAACGTTTGTAGATACCGGAAGTAAGAGTGCAAAGAGGACAGAGCCAGGCTCTTCTTTGTGGTGACTGGACCAGAGGCAGTGGGCACAAACTAAAACACAGAAGGCTCCATCTGACCATCAGGAAACACTTTTCTACTGTGAGGGCGACTGAGCACTGGCACAGGTTGTCCAGGGAGGTTGTGGAGTCTCCATCCTTGGCGATATTCAAAACCATTCTGTGATTCTGTGATATGCGACTAGAACAGGATAGGCTTATAGCTCACTTCTGCAAAAGCCTTTTGTGCTACAGGCTCTCTCAGTTAAACTGCTGTCCAGGAACAAACAATTATTTCTGTCCTTCTGCTGAAACACATGAAGGACAATCCGTAAGGCATTATATGGAATTCTAGAATGTAGTAATCTCTGACAGCAACCTAAGGGACTCTATCTGCTTTATGCACTTTGGCAACATTCATACAGCTTGCCATGCCAGTAAAGCATCACAGCACTGAGTTTATTGTGGGATCTCAGAATACTACACTTCTCACTGAGAAAATATATTTCGGACTCAAAGACTGAAAAGTCACAGAAAATTACATCATATTTTCTCACACTATGAAATGAATATTTCAGAAGGTGTTTATGAGTCCCTTCTCTCTTGCCTCTGTTCAGGATGATTGAGAAATCCAAAAGGGAACTCTCCATCCCACAAATGCATATTTCATATGCTCATCAGGAGGCAACTTAATTAACACTTCGCTATGCTAACCCAAAGCCCACTGACATCAATGGGAAGACTCCCATTGTCATCACTGTCCTAACAATCTTCTGGGTGGCTAGCACAACATGCAGCTGTGCCTTTTTTCTCCTATTGTAGCTTTCCTGTGACAGCCCTGTAATCATGGTTAAAAATTACTGTAGCAAACCCCCTGCCTTAAGCTATCATCAAATGGATTTTTAAATGACAGGAAATAAATGTTAATGTTGTTGCCACTCACTCATTCAATTCCAAAGCTTCATGTGCTGCAGAAATTCGGGCTTGGGGGTTTCTCTCTCTCCAGGCTTTTTGCATTACTAGTCAATAAACAGAACAGGGGCTTATCAGTCATTACAGCATTAACAAGGCAAATCTACTGCACTGTAAAAACAGAACTTATTACTCTCAGCCTGACTCACTCCAGAGCATTTCAAAGAGGCCAGTGATCACTTAAAAGATACATAATCAACATGAGCTTTTGTCCCAAATACTCAGCTTTATTCTTTCATTTAATTAAACCTTTTTTCGATGGGAAAATCTGGCCGAGAGATCATGCCATCTGCACTGTCACATGAGGTGACAAGCAGCTTTTTCCTCTAGAGGTAGCAGATTCCACAGGGCACAAAAGAATACAAGGATAGGTTGTATTCTTATTCTATTTCCTTACTGTGCTGTTCCTTTAGGTGAATGTTAAATGGAAACAACATCTAGGCTAACCAACCACCTCATAATCAGCCCATTGAGTTCAGAAAATAGGATTCATGTTTATCACGTGTCAAAAAAGCACAGTATGTTCTCCTTTGTGATTGTGCTTTCAGAATGGAGCACCCAACTGTCAGTATCTCTCCTTGCCTAAGAGAAAAAAAATTTGCTCCTTCAGAGGCAAATTCTGACGATCAAAGTAATTGTACATTTTCAGCAGAACCAAAGTCTGCACATGGACTTAGCAGTAAAGGCTTAAGACAACTAAAGCTGCTAATATCAAATTCAGCTGTAAACGTGTTCCCATTTTTTACAGAGCTTCTAACTACATCAGGGAATGAAACACAGTATTCAAGTTCCACATAAGCTCTCTATCTTCTGTCAGCATAGACTATATGGCACCTGTATAATATAACTCAACATACTACACTCCAGATGGAGGCAAACTGAAGCCTGAAACAGGAGGAAAAAACAAGTCTTTACACTTTAAGTGGTACCTTGAATGACTTCATCAAGAAAAGTAGAACAAAATAGTGACACAAATAAAATAGTTTATACCTATATGGATACTTGTTCAGATGTAGAATACGACAAATCCAACAACAAGGGCTTTCTAGCCACGATCAAACTTTTGCCTTTTCTTATCTACCTCAGAGAACTGATGTCTGACTGCATTTTTCTTGCATCAGTTTAAAACAATCATTAACCTATTAGCAAAAATGTTTGTTCACAAGGTCTCTTACTAGCGTCTGCAGGCCGTAAATGATCCGTGTCACATGTAAAGAATGTCTGATGGTCTTGTGCTGAAAGATTCATATCGTAGTAAGTCAAAGGTTCTCTCCCTGTTACCCATGTGTACCTGCAAGCATGCCAACACAAGAGACATTTTTGTTAATGAGGTCACATTTGGCAAAATGAATCTAGAAAAGAATCCTAGATGTTAAAGATGGGCATTGGCCACTAAGTTCACACAGCCAATCTCCTAACCAATACATTGCATTTCACTGGACTGTGATGGAGCGACAGCAGCTGAACCTAAGCTAATGAAGATGTTGGAAAGTACGCACTGGAAATTTTAACACATATTCAAACATTAAGGCTACATGAAACCTAGATATAATTCATTAAGTTGTTTGCTATAACTGATTTGAACAGAATTACTGTAGTAACAGTACTAGGTACACCGCACCTAGGTTTTTCCATTCTTTATAAGGTCACCAAAAATTGCAGAAATAACAAGTGCATGAGCATGAATTTAAATTCCTTTTCATTCAGAAACATTTTACAAATGACAGAAAGACTTGGCATGAGCACGTGTCCGCACTTGTTTTTGTTTATCCATCTCCAGGTTAGATTAATGGAAAAGTACAGTTAAGGTCCTTAACCCAGTACTAAGCCTGAAACTGTAACATCGCAGCACTTACCGATTATATTCAGCTCCTCTGAACAGATTTAAAGGATTTCGCCAGACTTTGCATTCTGTCATAAACAGAAACACACAATAATGAACCTCTCCCAAATTACAGTGGTATTTGAGGTTTATCAGAAAAATCAGTTACTTTCTAATAAGCCTTGTCAAATTACTTTTATATCTTATAGGTGCTAATGAAAAAAAAAGTCAAGAACATAGAGAGGCAGGTAACCACAGTGTTCTTACCTTTTTAAATAATAATTTCATTATAAATTAGTGTCAACAAATTTAATAATTCCAGACAAATAACCACTAACAAATCTCCAAATGCCAGATGAAAAGATAATACTGATTAGTGTCAAGCCTCACATTTACCATAATGCAGAACTGAAGAGGGATCACACCGGGTTATTGCACTGAGTCTCTGTGGACTTGTTATTTCTACAGAAAAACTTCACTGCCCAGTTAATACTGTAAATCAGTGAGAATCTCAGCTACAGTTGCCAAGTTTAATTCCTCCTTAGCCTGGGAAGTAAAAAATCCATGGCAACATCTGCTGACCTTTCTTAAGTTATAAGCATCCCAAGGTTGACAAAGGATGCTGAAGTTGATTGGCAGAGAAAAGTTCATTGAATTGCAAAGGTTTGGGAGCACTAAAAGCACTTCATACATTTCTCTCAGGGGGGAAAGAAGTTCCAAATTCCTCGTGCTACAGGTAGGAAGAGATAAGAAAATCCACAACAGAACCGAACTGGAAAAAAAAAATAACAAAAATCAATTTCTAGAGCTTCTGAAAAGGTGGTGTCTTGATTCTGGATTTTCTTCCTTTAATTTAACACCAGACTTGTCCTCTTCATTTCAGCAAAGAGAATTCACTCCAGTGAAAGCAAGACCAGAACCAAAACCAGTATTTGCACAAGGACTTGCTGAGAGGCAGTATGTCGTTCCACCACAGATCTGCTACTGGGTGACCCCTCCCACGGCGCTCTGCAAAAACTCACCAGTAGCATTGGCCCCGCAGCATTTCAGCAGCTGCTTTCCACCACCAAAAGTCAACCAGTACATTTTCTTGTATGAAATTTTGTGACATTGTTTCTAAAGAGATCACAGCAACAGTATTCTGGTGGGACACTGAGTCAGCAGAGTATCCACCCTACTTCATACAGCACTGGTAAGTATATGCCTATTCCCTTTATGCCTGTTCTATTAAAGAAAGAGACAGAAATACAGAACAGCAAGTTCTTTTCTCATGGATGTAGCTCCCACTTCTGAGTATAAGGCTAAAGTGGCACAGAGAGAAAGCATTTTACATAAATTATTTGCATTAACATAACGACACCCGCAGCTACACAAAAACTAGTCAAGTGACATAGGAGGTGGACCCTCACCTTGCTGCCTACATCACCTAACATGTGCACGGGACAGAGACACAGGAATGAGAAGACGTTTGGGAAGAGTGAGTGCATTGATCATACATCTGCATCTTTCAACTAACCGCTTCAGCAGGTAGCTAACATTAGAAACCTCCACCGGTTTACTCAGCTGAAGCGCTCGATTGACATTCAGCCATTCTGCTGTGCAGCCAGAATGCTGTTGCATGCATGGCTGTTTGACAAGCTTCAATCTGACAGTTTTTACACAACATGACTTTCAAACCACCGTAAATATTAAATCAACATCAGCTGTCTCAGTTCCAGAGGTACAATTCAATGGCTTGGCTTACTCTGTTTGCAACCAACAAGATTAGGCAGCGACTATTTGATCACAGTGACACCGTTCTTTCTGCCCATCTTATTTAAGTGGTTATACTTCAGATGAAGTACGCAGTCCTTCAGCACTGTAGAACGGAAAGGCAGAACTGGGGAATAAAAAGGGTAAGTGAAAAAGTGACTTGATTACCACCTCCTGCCCTGGAAGTAGTTTGGCATCAGTCTGGCCAGTTAAACATGATGTGCTCTTTGTTCCTTTTGTCATGGTATCTGCTGATACTATGGTCTCAGTACAACAACCATTTTTCTGACCTTTCTGAAGACAAAAGGTATCTACCGAAATATTCTACCATAGCCAAACATCTATATAGGAAAATACAGTGAGCCAAGTGAAAAAGCCATATACACCTTGATGGCTAGTAAAATATCCCAGTGTTAATGCATTGTAAACTGAAAAGGTTGCCTTTTCTGTCACATTACAAACTAATTATATAATTATATCCTTATTTCATATAAGCAATTAGGATTTACTGAAGATTAACCTTTCGGCTCCTTGTTCAATAATCATGTTTTGAGCAGCAATATCTTTCCAAAGGCACAAATAACACGCTTATCCATACAGACACCCTATGCAGAGACACTCTGAGAGTGATAACTCACAGACTCGAGTGCCAATGCACTGAAAGCAAAACACTCCTTGACTATTTCTTTATATCAGAAAAGTCAAGGTGCTCGGGTGAACTTCATTAGTCAAAATACTGTGCCTTCTGCTTCAAAATGCTGGGAATTATTTCAGAGCTGCTGAAGTGTGACTGAGCACACTGATGAGTGCACACAGGTGCTTCCAAGCCATCCCATGCTTTCTGCCAGTTCACCCAAATCTAATATCCTGGACCACGCAGTGCTGCTATTCCCAGCCTCTGCTCAGATGGGAATGACAACAGCTGAATTTGCTGTGCTATGCGGAGGCTTCCCTAAGTAGAAATACTCAACTGAGTATTGCCAGCAGCAAGGGTTTTTCAGGCCACCTATTTTATTTAATCTGTGAGTTCAAAGCTAATTTTTGTTTGCTTGTTTTCATGAATACCGAAGAGCAGAAATAAAATTTGACAGGTGCAGACACAGGCACCTCAACTGTAAACAATAATGTTTTCTTCATATCTGAATTTGGTTTTTTTCATTTACTTTTCCTCCCTTGTTAATTCTGATATATTTTAAAAGCCTGCAAATGAAATAGATTTAATGAAACTGTAATTGATTCTAGGGGCACATCCATAATGAAAGCTGAATTAATTTCCAATATTAATGATTATGACCTGCATGCCAAGCTAGGGCTGAAACAGGTAAGCTGTGTTTTACAGAGAAAGGAACACAAGCCAAGATGCTCCTGCTCTGACTCGGTGAGTATCTCCAACTCAAGCCAGCATCATTTTGCATCTCAGCAAGATGCATTTCAGCATCCTCATCACTCATGGGCATCAAGTTTTCAATTCATCCACCCCAGGTGACTCCCTGCTGAGTCACACAAGCAGGGAGACAAGTTTTCTGGAACTCCTCTTCAGCTTCCAAATTTAAGTATTTTGGGGGCTGATTCATTTTAAGCAGACTGGCCTGTCTCTCAGAAGAACCATCCCTGGGCAACCAGGCATCTGACTCAAAGTGCCTCAACAGAATCCCAAACCCTGTGACGTGAATGAAGTGATCTGCAAGTATAGTCCTCCTGCAGCAGAGCTGTAACAGGACTCAAGCTGCCTCAGTTCAAAACTGACATCCTTCCCTCTATTACGTAAGAGCTGATTTATTCTGATTGAACATTGTCTTTTTCACCAGACAAGTAAATTTGTATTCGTTATAGTAATACGTAAATGCATAATAAAAATTACATAATAAAAATATACATTTATAGCGCTCATGTAAGGCTCTCAAAACTTATCTTCTCAATCATATGTTCAATACAGAATAATCATATGCACTGGAAAAGAACCCCCAGAGTGTCAAGGTCAGCTTTAAAGGCTTGAATAGCTTGGACTCAGACACCTTCAGCCTGATTTTCAGCACTTACTCCTTGCACTGCAACTCATAGGGACTGTGAATGCCTGGAAGCGCACCAAAATGGAGCCCCAAATGCCTGAAATCAGGGCCCCTAAAATGGAGGCCTTTTTTAAAACCTAACTGTGTTATGAATTGCCCAAAGTCACAAATCAAATTGGCAGCAGAGTCAGGAACAAAACAAGCCCTTGAGCTATTAAAAGCCACTGTGCTTCCATTTACTACAGTGGAATCCAAATGTTGTTTACATACCATTTACATTATCTAAACAATAAAGCAATGCAAATACAGACCGGCATTCCCAACATCTTTTTCTGTTTTTATTTTTTACGATCTCAGTTTATTCAAAAGACTTTAAATAAAAAAAAGTGCCTGCCTTTAGAAATGATATTGCAGAAAGAGCACATGCAATCTAGCAGGGGGTTCAGAACAAGGGGGAATGGACGCACTGGCAATGCAGCCTGAGCAATAAGCACTGCATGAATTTGGAGAGATATAATTAGCCAGAGCAGCTAATGAAGCAGCTCTTCCTTTTATTTGACAACAAAACAAGTCTAAAGGAAGCCTTATCTGGTCTCACGGCTCAGGACAAAACGGTTATTTGTACCGCGGGCCTGCAGCAGGCCGCCCCAGGCATGCCCAGCTGTGCAAGAGCCGAGCCTGGCACCCTGGGCTGAGGTAAACGCGGGTGCTGCTGGGAGGGGGGGCTGGCGCCCCACCCCGCCCGGGCCAGGCAGCCGACGCTCAGCCACCACCCAGCAGCGTCGTCCTGCATCTGCCAACAGCCCACTGCGTCCCTCCTCGGGCAGATAAAGAACATTCTCCCCCGCGTTGAACGACCCAGGGCACGGGAACCTTGAGAAGCAAAGTTC